GTCCCTGTCACCAGGGTTGGAGTAACTGCAGTGCCTGTCGTTTTGTTGTCAGATCCCCAGAGACCTTCTCTTCCCTTTGAGGATACTGAATAATGTTGAACAGAACTCAGTAGGCATGGACCAGGCCCCAGCACATCGTAGTGGTTTGTGTCTCTCTGGAATTGCCAGGGTGACAGCATACTTTTTCTAAATATTCAACTAGCTTTTCAGGATTCTTTACTTGGTCAGGGGTGAAGTTCCAAAACGCTGGAGGTGCCCACCACCCTAGGCATTTGGTCATGCTATCCCACACACCTTGCCACTCATAACTATCCAGCCTCAGGGCAGATCTTTGGGTGATATTTTTAAATAGTTGTTTAACACTATACAAGATCTGAAACACATTCAGGATGCATAGCAATAGGAACATGCTGGTCTGAACATCCCAAGGATATTCAAAATTCTCAAGAGCTATTGTAACCAGCCTGAAGGAGAAAGGGAAGGTGAAGGTGTTCCCCTCCGTCTCCCCCATAGATTGGTTCTCTGTGGAAAAAAATTAGAGACTCTGATTCCTAATAATTCCCGGGAGATAGCACCTAAAGTATGGAAACAACAGCAATGATGTTGAATACACAGACCAAATCATTCTCATGACCAATAATGTTATCTTATCATAAGTGAGTAGTACACAGTACAGCAAAAGGAACATTCTCGTCCACCTCCCAGAGGTGATAAACAGCACTGTAGGTAATACACAATGCAAGTAAAGACATACATGACACAACCATGTGAACAAATAATGCAACATTGTGTCCAGCAACTATTAAACTAATATAGTGAATGGAAAACAAATTTGTTTTAACACTCTCTGGTCAGATCTGCCGTTATCTCAACCCTTTGTGCCCCACGTTGGGTGCCAAAAGTACTGTTGTGATTTAACCTGGCTGGCAACTAAAACAACCACACAGCTGTTTGCTCACTCCCCCTGCTCAGTGAGGTGCAGGAGAGAATCGAAAAGGAAAGAAAAAAAAGTAAGACTCATGGGTTGAGATAAAACCAGTTTAATAGGACAGAAAAGGAATAATAATAAGAAGAAGAATATACAAAATAAGTGATGAACAGCACAATTTCTCACCACTCGAAGCCAATGTTCAGCTAGTTCCTGAGCTGCCCTGCCTCCCAGCCAGCTCCCCAGTTATATGCAGAGCATGATGTCATATGGTATGGAATGTCCCTTTGGCCAGTTAGCGTCAGCTGCCCTGGCTGTGTCCCCTCCCAGCTTCTTGGGCGCCTCACACGTTCTCGTTAGCAGGGCAGTGTGAGAAGCTGAAAAGTCCTCGACTCCTTGGCAACAACTAAAAACGTCAGTGTGTTATCAACATTATTCTCATCCTAAATCCAAAACACTGCACTAACCAGCTGCTAGGGAAAAAATTAACTCTATTCCAGCTGAAACCAGGACAGACCTCCTGCTTTAGTGAGGAGTTTTGTCCCTGGATAAATGGGAAATTTTTCCCTTTTCTCTGTAGCCTTATGATATGAATACAGTGCAGTAGTGACTGAAAGTTACTTACCATTAAGTTAAAGTTTCCATTGCTGGGATAGCTTGGATTTCCAGACACTGCCTATGACAATCTGTTACTAATACCAGCCCCAGAACAAACACTTCTGAAGTCTGTAGTAGCTGACCAGTAACTTTGCATAGATTTTTTGGTTTCAGTGCCACTCTCAGATGGACAGATGTTCTTATCATAACTGCAGCACTACAGCTGCTTCCCTTGTGATTAACATCTGCAGACCAGAAGAGGTGGTTATAGTTCCTGCCAGATCACATCTGAAGGACAGTGACTGGACAGAAGAAAAACCTTTTCATTGCTTTTGAAATTGTCCTCACTTTCACAATATTTTATAATGCTGCATCTCTCTACTTCCTCATTTTTAACTGTCAGCTCTCCACCACTCTCCCAAACCTTGGTGACCTGTTTTATCAACTTTTTTTTAACCATCTCTGTGTTCTCTTCCAGACATTCCATATTCATGGAATGCTTTTAAAAAATTAATTCATAAAGGCATTAATCCTCTCATCTTTCAGCTCATTCCTCAAGGTCTACACCCACGAGGCTATCTGCAGGAAATTACAAGCTAATAATAGCTACGCAGTCAAAGCACTTTGAAATGGATTCTATGTTTTATTTGTCTTTCTCACCCTTTGGATTAGATTATCTCTTGAATGGTAGATATCACCACCAGTTTTTTTAATCTCTTTATTAAACACTGTAATGTCTCTCCATGGAGCTGGGCTTGCAAGTTGCCCATAAATTTTAGCCCATGCAGTGGACTAGAGAGATGGAGCACAGCAGAGTATGGAGGGTTATCTCCACTAAGCCCACAGCCAAGCATGTAAAAAGGTTTGGACTTCAGATCCTGGAGGGTTCCATACATTTCACGGCCTTTCAGGACTTCAGGCTTCATCCTCCTCAAACTCTTATGGGCTTCATCTAGCCCTGGAAAGCCAAGGCTATGGGCAAGTTTTGTTCTCACAGAGCCATCATTCCAACTGACTCTGGAAGCTTCTATGAATTACTCCAAAATTGCCCACAAGGTAACACAGAGCAAGAAAATTGGTGTTGTTGCTTAAATGAAGACATAGGAATTTACACTGATTTCTTCTTTTGCACTTCCTTCGGGGAACACAGTAATTATACTGAGGTTAAGTTTGTTCATGGTAACATCCTTTAAATCAGACCAGCTCCCCTGACTTCAGTGGAGTTAATATGGATTTACACAAGTGTAAGCAAGGACGAGATCTGGTCCCAATTTAGGACACATCTGCTAGCACAGATGGGGCTGAGAGAGTTTGTTGTCATGTTAATTTTCTACCTTTGTTTGAGATCTTCTGAGCATGAAACAAATCCAACAATTCTGAAATCTTGCAACACAGGCAACATTATTCCCCCTTATTGTGGCTGGTGAATTCCACCAGAGCACAAGATGGCCTTGTACTCAAAAAAATCGTGATGGCTTAAAAAAATAGCCTCATGAAAAATAATGGCTAAAATTTTCATCCTATAACCATTCTGAAGGATGATTAACATTCCGTGATGAGCAGCTCTATTGACATACTCCTGGCTGTTGTAAAATTAATCGCCTGAGCAACAGTTTACATGACTCTAGCCCAAGGAGCAGTTTACCACACTTCATCCAGGCAAGGCTCCAAGAAGGTCATGCAGAGTTTTCCCTGAGTAATAAGTGCTGAATTTATTGCTTGATGGCTGTGAATCTAAAAAAAAAAAAAAAAAAAAAAAAAAAAAAATTGCTACCTTTAAATCAAAAATTGTGTTGTGATTCTAGGCCTTAATCTGTTGATTTTAAAATTTATACTCTTTTCTGTCGTCCGTTTTGATGCTTTAGAAAGTGAATGAGGGAGCAGTGCTTTCATATAAAACTTGGAACAGTATTCTGTAGCACATGCAAGTGGCTTGCATGCCATGAAATAGAATATTTCTTTTACTCTGCTATCCAATATGTCCTGGTGTCTATTTTTTCTTAATTAGGTAAATAATGTCTCTATGTTCTGTCTTAAGGGAAAAAAAAAAACCAAACCACTGCTGATTGCTCTGGAAGGGTTACCTGTCTAAAGAGTTCAGGATCTGATTTTACAGGAATCACTGTTTGGAGAAAGAATTTTTTATGATGGAGAAAGAGATCTCGTTGTTCTTAAGCTCTACTTTTACTGTGGAGTCAGAAACCTTACAGGTTTTGTGCATTATTATATTGTTTTAAGGGATAAAAAGACTCTTGAACAGATCATTACCAAGTTTGTACAAACCCTCTAGTGTAAATGTTAAAAATCTGATTCCTAGGAATGAAAGACAGAAGGGTAAGGTCTTTTCTGGCTTAATCTGATTTACCTGAGTATTTACGCCAGCACAGGCTTAGAGTGCACTGTAGAATGAGAAGAAATGATACAACTCATTCTTATTCTATAGCAGTGCAAATCTAGGGTAACTCCTGTATTCAATATTCTCCCTCAAAAGCAGTGTGAGAAAAAAGTCAAACCAAACACACTGAAGATGACATGCAGAATTTTAAACACAATGAGACACATATGGGGAGGAAATTGCATTATAACCATTTGATTACATATTTCAAACAGATTTCTGGGACCCATGGCATATCCATAAAGGAGATGGATTCAGTAATGTAACTGTAGCAATATTAGTGTAAATCTGGAGTTGCTGCAGTGACATCATGTTAGCCCCATTAATTCTGTAAAATCTTCCTGATACTTATTTTTTCCCTTCAACCTATTTTAAGTGGGTGATTAATACTTTTCTAATCTGAGCTCTTATGTAATAGCAATTACTCATCAAGAATATTCTCAGCTGAACAATTTGGTACAACAGGCCAGATTCAGATTTCCCAGTGGTTTGTTCTTCATGTAGTTGCCCTGAATCACATTAGGGTTAACCAGAAGCAGAAGGCTTATGTTTTTCAGGATGTAACCCAGGAAACGCAATTCAGAAGGCAATTGTAACCTCTGTTAAGGCTGCCCAAATTTAGAGCTCTGAATCACAACCATCCATGATGCAGACTGGATGCAGGGTTCAGATATTCAGGCCCAAATCTTCCCTACATGAGAGATTTCAAAAGACTTCAGACAGAAGATAAAGAACAAAGCCACCTATCAACAACACAGGTCGAAAAAAAACCTCTTTTTACACCCATAGCACTGCAGTGAGCTACACTAGTGACCAATATCAGGTGGAAATCAAAGCTGGAACACCCTTCCTCACCTGGGAGCAAATAATTGCTGGGGGGTGGTGGTGACACCTGAGCAGGAGGGGCAATAAGTATATAGGGAGGTGCTGAGGAGGTAGGTAACTCCTCACCATAGGGACCTTGTGGAAAGGAGCAAGTGTGTTTGACTTCAGGGAGGGAGTGGATGTGGGAGCTCTTCAGTGGGGGCTGCCTCCCAGAATTGTTTTTCCTTTTGTGGCAGGTTTCTGGAGGTCTCAAGCATGAGCAGTTGTTGGGTTGTATTAGCCTTTTGCTGCTTGGGACAGCTGTGTGCAGGTAAGGGGCATCTATCGGCAGCCTCTTCTCCTTTTTTTGTTGCTTGTCTCTTTGTATCTCTGCCCTTGCTATTTCTCTTAGAGTTCTTTTAGTTTGTCGTGGGTATCAGCTTTCTGCTCTAGGATCTATATTGGAAGGGGTGTTTAATGCTTCAAACATATATTCTGCTGGAAGATTGCTCAAGTGTCTGTATTGCAGCTAGGCTAGGAAGGAGGAGGAGCTGCTGAATCTCTCTCTTAGTTCTTAGTTAGTTTTCCCCAGGTGAGTGGAGGTGAAATGAGCTTGTGTAGGGAGGGGGGCAGTGTCTGATACAAACTTTAAACTTTATCCTAATACCTCTTGCTCTCTCCAGGGCCTCTCCCAGACAACTTTCCTCTCTGCTAAATCTCTCATGCTCTATGTCAACAAGCCTGGTCTTTAAAACCCTTATTAAGGCTCCTTGCTGCTAAAGGATTTGAGAACTGGCAGTACTGCTTCTGGTGCTGCTACTGGAGGGGACAGAGGTTCAAGTTTGTCCTGCAATGAGGCTTTGCCTTTGTCCTTCTGAGGTGATGTGACCAGTATGTTTGAGGAGCAACATTTCTTACCTCTCTCCCCAAATCCCTGCATTTTGTATTAAAGCAAAACCCTTAACTCTCAAACTTTCACAGGGTAGGTAGGCTATTTCCTGCTCAGCTGCAGTTCACATCCCTGTTTTAATGTTGTTTGTTAGCACTGCCAGATCCTCCCTTTTGAGTCAGAGCTTGCAGGGGGAGAGGTGAAAGATTTTTTCATATGCTTTTTTGGTAACTTTCTCTTCTAGATCAAAACCTGAAGCCTCAGATTGCAGCCCCCCAGCTTGCTACAAACAATCCCACTCTCACTACAGTTGCTCTAGAAAAACCTTTCTGTATGTTTGACAGCTCACTGTCTCCAAAGAAATCTTATGTCATCTACTTGTACGCAATGAAGGAATCAGGTGAGTATCCAGCATTACGCCTCTCTGAAAGATAACTACATGATGTGTATGTTGCATGCAATTCTTCTAATTTGATGAGGTGTGCCCGAATGGGGGAAAAGAGAAAAATCTGTAGCTGTAAGCTATGTACAAGCTGAGCCTCTGGTCCCAGATTTCTCTGTGGTATTATAAAATATAATATAAATAACCGGATTTCCATGGGGCTAATTAACGATAGCCAGTGTTAGTACTGTGTTACCTGACTCCCAATAGGTGTGGAGCAGCACTATCAGCTATAAACACTTGCCCAAATCTTGCTAATGAAATCAAGTGGTTCAGTCTGATACCTTATCTTTGTCTAAACACCACTGTCTTGTCTAAAAGCGTGAATTCCCCTAAGTAAACCTGCTGAGAGAAACTGGGTAACCCCTGCTGTCTGCTTCATAGTTAGGGTAGCCAGCTCTTGCAAGGACTAAATTTTTTTAGAAAAAGGCAAGTCATTCCAGACTTGTAGTCAAAGATGCCTGGCCCATAGGTTCATTCATAAAATGAATTTCGTAACTGCTTGGCAATGAAACATTGCTGGCAGTGACCAAGAGCTGCCTTCTCTGTTCCCTGCTGCTCTGGCAGACTGTTCTGAATGCCAGCTAGAGCTACTCTGTAAGCTGACAGAAAAAAATTACTTGTATCATGCCTTCTCCCCTGAAGGCTGTATGCAGCCTCCTTTTCTAAGAAGCACAGAGAAGAGATCTTGAGGGGGGGGGCAGTAGAAAAATTGGCCAACAAACAAAATGGTCTAAAACTTCCTCTGCTTATTGTTGCCACTTTAGATGAGGTGGAAGGAGGCGGCCTTGGACAGGTAGAAGCCATAACCAGAGACACCATCCCATGCAGATAACACAGACAATTGGGAATGCATGGCCTTCTGAGAAAACATTCCATGACTGAAGTGCACATCTTTATATGTCTAAACCAGACTATAAGTGCATTATAATTATATAAAAGGGTACTGATACTTAGTTATACCTGCAAATATGATGTTGTGTTATAAATTACATCAACTACCCCATCTTCTGCAGATTCTGTGGCAAAAACTTCCTATATAGATGGGTGAATCTCTACAAAAGGAGTTATATACAGACAAATCTCTTCTCCTTTTAAGGCAAGCAGATGCAAACTTGTTACTTGGCAGACTGGGAGGAATTTTGTTTGGATTTTTCTCTGGTCTGCAGAGAAGCACGTTGGCTCACCCTTGGATGCCTCTTAGAGCAGTGAGAAGGGAAATTTAAGTGAATTTAATTTTCTTAACACCTTATGTTCAGCTCTGGTTGCGAAAATTCTGTTCCAGGAGCAGAGCAGAGCACTTCCAAACTGAAGTAGTTACCAATGTACCACAGCTTTGGAAGAATTGGTATTCCTTTGCTGCTAACAGCACTGAACAGCTGCAAGGGGGTCCCCCCTCAGAAAAACCCACAAAACTAACATGCAGTTGCAGAGCTTGGGAGTATCTTTTGGGACTTGTGCCTTGGCTTTGCAGCAGGAAAGGTTTGAGAGCTGCAGCTGATCTTCCAAACTATGCTGTAGGGCTGGGCACAGATCTGCACTTTGCTTGAAGCTGTGAGGACTTTCAGACTTTGTGGCATGCTATTTGGAAGTACTGGCATGCCTGGCTGGTGAGAAATGTAGATACTGCATCTGTTCATACAGCCCCTGCACACTGGTCTGCATACTGTGTGGTTCTGGGAGGTCCAGCTGTTGCATGACCAGAGGTCTAAGGGTTTCTGCTCTGGGAGACAGAGTTGTGACTCTCTAGGAACTCTGCTTTGGCTATAGTATCAAAGCTGAAATGTCAGGATTTTGTAGATGTTTATTGGCATGGTGGAAGAGCAGCCTTTGCCACCCCTCTCCCCGCTCCATCAAATTCTCCTTGGAAAAGAGGAATTTGGGGAGTGTGGTTACTAAAAAGTACTGCTCTGAGATATGCTGTGGATCCCTCACAGTTTCTGAGGGACAAGTGGCAAGAGCTTTATCAACAAATAAGGAGGAAGGAGTAGGATGATCACTACACAGCCAAAATGGTAGCAGATTTTTTATTTCCCTTTTGGGTGTTTTGGAGTAGAAAAGCAAGTTGCCAAGTAAATACAGGGTGAATGGAAAGGGCTGTGCTACTTCTAACAGCCTTGTTAAAAAGCATCTCTCCTGCAGCAAGTGCAGTAAGCTCCCTGGTGACTGACAACAGCAGCAAACCACTCAACAGCACATTCCAACAAACAAGTGGGGGACAGCTTGGACCTTACAAGGCTGCTTTGTTCAATGTACCCAACTGTGCATCACCTCCCAAGCTTGCTGATGTAGGAGATGTCAACAAAGTTTCTGATGTCCTGAAACAATACCTCTTCAGAGTCGGGGATGATGGGACCTGTTTGTATGACCCAAACTTCCTAGCTGTCTGTAACCCACCTCTTGCACCAGACACAACATACAGGTATAATTCTTATTTCTTACAAGGTGATTGCTGCTCTTAATCATAGAATCATTTAGGTTGGAAAAGACCTTTAAGATCATCAAGTCTAACCATTAACCTAGCACTGCCAAGTCCACCACTAAACCATGTCCCTAAGCACCCCATCTACACCTATTTTAAATACCTCCAGGGATGGTGACTCAACCACTTCCCTGGGCAGCCTGTTCCACTGATTGACAATTCTTTCAGTGAGGAAATTTTTCCTAATATCCAACCTAAACCTCCCCTGGCACAACTTGAGGCCATTCCCTCTTGTCCTATGGCTTGTTATTTGGGAGAAGAGACCAACCCCCACCTGGCTACAACCTCCTTTCAAGGAGTTGTAGAGAGTGATAAGGTCTCCCCTCAGCCTCCTTTTCCCCAGGCTAAACAACCCCAGTTTCCTTAGCTGCTCCTCATAAGGCCTGTTCTCTAGACTCTTCTCAGCTTTGTTGCACTTCTTTGGACACGCTCCAGCACCTCAATGCCTTTCTTGTAGTGAGGGGCCCAAAACTGAACGCAGTACTTGAGGTACGGCCTCACCAGTGCCAAGTACAGGGGGATGATCACTTCCCTAGTCCTGCTGGCCACACTATGTCTGATACAAGCCAGGATGCTGTTGGCCTTTTTGGCCACCTGGGCACACTGCTGGCTCATATTCAGCTGGCTGTTGACCAACACTCCCAGGTCCTTTTCTACCAGGCAGCTTTCCAGACACTCTTCCCCAAGCCTGTAGTATTGCATGGGGTAAACACAAATAAAGCACAATAGGAAGCAAAATTGAGTCTGTAATATTTCTTTGTTAATGGTAAGATGTGAATTACCAGTCCCTAAGTGAAATCTCTATTGCAAGAGTAGCTATGAAGGTGGCTTGGCACTAGTATCCCACAGATGCTGCTCTAGCAATGGTGAGCAGGTTAAATTCATGGATCAGTAGGAAAATTCATGTGTGAACTGCTGGATCTTTACATATGTTGGAGTAGGTAATCCAATGACAGCATCTGATTAGAAACTGCTGGAAGAACAGGATTTTGACTGGAAAATCATGTTGAGATTATTCACCGTGTATTTTGTGTTAGATGATTCTGCCAAATTGAAGACGTGTACCTGGATCTGCTTGCTTTGTGTTGATGGGATTCTGGGGAACCAAAGTTCTCCTTGGTCTCCAGCTCCAGGAAGCCCCTAATGTTACTGGAAACTTCCCAGTGAGGGCCAGGTGGCTTGCAGACTTATCTGAACCCTGTTGTCTGGGGAAGCTGACCATCTGGGGAATTTGGACAACCTGACAGCTGTTACCCAAAACACTTGTTTTACTGTTGCCAGCTATTTAAAAGTGGTAGTAAAAATGGCAATCACATGGAGCCATATCTGCTTCTGAAACAAAATACTATGGGTTCTTAGTTTTGCAAAAACTGTCTTGCCCCTTCTGTCTCTAGGACATTTCTGAAAATTCAAACTATTGTGGAATGGAAACTTAATTTCTTTGCCAAATCTGATATAGATCTGTCTCTTTGGTGCTCTCCTCTAGCAGGGAAAGTGCCAAAGATCTCTATTGTTAGACAAAATCTTTGACTTCCATATGGAAATCAAAACCACTTGCTGTCCTAAATAATGAAGCTCTTCACAACTGGGAATAGCAAGCTTGGAAAAACTCTTGGAAAGCTCACAAGAACGAAGTGCAAACTGTGCATGACAGAACAGAATGCTTTTCCATGATTAATTCTATTTGTTCTTCATAAGGTCTCTGGAAATAGTTACCTTTGACTGTCTCAATCTAATGCTTTGACAAAACCTGAAGTCTCACCAGCTAATCTAGTAGCTTAAAAATGCTAGTACAGTAGTACAAAGCTCTAATTTGAAATATCTAATTTAACACTTTTCCCCCACAGGTTTAAATACATTTTGGTAGAAAGCACTGAAGGTATAATGAAAGCCCAAACTCTCTGGTCTGATCCAATCAAAACCAGAAGAGGTAAGTCTGTGGCTTTGCTCAGGTCTTCTGAGTAGCTGTGCTTGCCTTAAGACACTATTACTCTATCAGCAACACTCAGTCTTTTCCTGAAGTTTTAACAGTTTTGTCAGCCTTTCAATACTGGAGTAGCAGGCTTAAATATGGAATAATTCTCTACTTCTTTTGTGTACTTCAAGTAAAGATAAATTTGTACATATGATTTCAGATTTGATGCATCTCATGGTATCTGGTGCTGTTGACATTTCTCAGTAATACAGATACTTGTCATACTGTCTAACCTGCTGAGGAAAGCTTATAAACTCCAAATGCTGATACTGAGTCTTAAACATGTTTCCCATAAATCATCTAAAACTTCAGGTATAGACATAATCAGTTTGCCTCTCTTAAATCACCAGCTTTCTACTATTTGGTGGATGTGTTCATGGTCAAAAATAGATCATAGGAACATTCTTTTCGTTTTTATTTTTTTTAGTTAAACTTCCCCTGAAAATTGATACCTGGCCTGGTCGAAGGAGTGGAGGCATGATTGTCATTACATCGATTCAAAGCGTTCTTGTGTTCCTTCTGCTTGCCGGCCTTCTTGCTTCTGTGTCCTCTGCTGTCATGTAAGTACTGCTACACCTTACAACTTCCAGTAAGATTACCTAGTTCCCCAGTCATTAGACTTCTTTCCTGTGGCTCCGAGGCACTGTTCCTGGTCTTGTTTGAGGTGATAGACCAGATGGTGTCCTCCAAATTTTGAAACTGGTAATGGGGAAAAGATTATCTTATAATCTTCCGTAAGATGAGCAACTCTTGTAATTATTACATGGCCTTCAGCTTACTAGCTGCCAGACTTTTGTAAGGACTACTGAAAAAAAAAACCAAAATGGTAGAGTTGCACATACTTAAAGCCTGTATATTCTTACATATTGCACCTTGTCATTCAGGAGGTTGGAAACTGTCTCAAGGAGTGCAGGCATTTGTAAAGATTACATAATGTCCTAATTAATGCCTTGATTTTAATTTATTTGCCTCCTCCCCAGGAGAAATAAGTTACCCCTTTGAATTAATAAGTGAGGCTTTGCTGGAGCTGTTTAACTGAACTAGTATAAGCATGTTCCATAGTCTTCTATGCCTCTTGCCCTGGGAAAACAATGAGGCCTGACTGATTCCTGATTGAACTTTTGAGGGAATGAACTGAATTTTAGAAATTGTGGGTATTAGGGCTGCTAAAACCCACTTCTTTCATTCACTTGAAAATGACGCAAGTGCTCTCTCTATTCAGTCAGCTCTGCCAGGCTTTCCTGGATTAAAGATGTGGAAAGTAAAAAATGCATTGCAAATGATTATTTTAAAAAATCTATGGGCTTTTCTGATGCTAAATGATTTAAGTAGCAACCATCCTTTGCAAAATGTTGTGACAGTAGGCTCCGCTCAGTCTCTACTGGAGCTTAATAAAACCTTTTACTTGCCCACCAGGGGATCAGAAGATTCTTCTGCAGAGACAAGGCACATGTCTCAGACTATTCAACAAAGTGAACCGAGACCACAGTTAAGCTCTGAGTGAACAACCTGATTCAAGTCAAGGATGGAAATGCAACTGAATTGCTACATGCGCTAGACCTACAGGACTGTCTCTTCTACTCAACCCTAGTCCAAAACACGCTATAGTAGGCAACCAGGCAACTGAAGATGAATGGAACAGATGAAATGAGAACATCTTTTTGAAGTCTTGCAGTACCTGATATCCTGTCTTGTCCTAATGAGATTTGATTTAGTTAATTGCCTTGTATAGCACAAATCTAATGTCTGGACTGAAGAAAGAATCTTTGAGATCCTTTAGCTTCAGTGGTGTGATCAGAGGTTGTCTAGTATATGCATCTCATCTGGAGTAAGCATTATTGCAGACCTCTGATCTGCTGCTCACAATCAAATGAACATGATGCAGCCATTTGTGTCTCAAACTTTCTCTAGAGTATCTGATGAGGAATTCAAGAAAGTCAGGCTGCTTTAGAAAAAGATGTTCTTCGAGAAAACTAGGGATTAAAAGCTAGACAACAAGGAACTACTGCTGCTTCCTTAGTGACAACTTGCGTCATATGAATGCCCCTTTTTCCTCTCCTTCCCTAAAAGCAAGCAAGTTTCAATTGCCCTGTGTGTAGCAGAGTAATTCTGATCTCAAATACTTAAATACTGTCAAACAACTTTGCAGGGATGAAAGCTAACAAAATTGCTTCAAAGAAGATGTGTTCTTTCCGAGCTCTGTATAATTTGTTGGTGGGCTAGTAAAGGGGAGATGCTGCTTTAGTGGCAAACATTAGTATATTCACTACTGTCAGGCTTGGCCTCATTTCTGACCTTTACCTTACGCAGCAGCAAGCCAGCATTCTTTGCATCTTAGTATCTAGGTTGGTGAGGTTTTTCTGAGCTAATTCCTTTCCTTCATTTTATGGTCTCAGTTGGTGATTAGAAATAAATCTTTGCCCCAGATTTGAGTTATGTACTGCTTATTTCCATTAATGCCAACTTCCATATACAGTTTTGTCTCTACAAAAGACTTGAGGAAGATCCAACTTCAAAGCCCAACCTTATACCTCTTGAGTATGTGGAAGCAACTGTCCTACTGTAGCAAACACTTGTGATGAGCACAGAGCTGTCACTGGTTACTATTGATGTTTTCCTAGTTTATCAGTAAATCTGCTAAACTGTCTCAGATTATAAATAAGGATTCAGTTTTGACATAAGTAGTTCACTATCACTGTCACGACTAGATGATCTTGCACTGACACTTATTTCAGGGAGTGGGACTTACTCTCTTAAGATTATGAAAATTAAAAAGTTTTGTGTAAAGTCAAACATTGCCAGGATGGAGTGTTGAGATTCTAGCTTGGTGATTGCAAAATTTGCCATTTTAAACTTCAGGACTTAGGTCCAAGAGATTCGTACATGAGCTCCCGGTGTTTTGGTATTCTAACTACAGCATGTTAAAGCTTGCCTGCTCCATCTTGGTTTCAGCTACGAGGGGGCTGGCAGAATGAAGAGAGAAAGCACTTTGAGAGATATGGGTGCTGCACCTTCTGACTAAAAATGGATGCTGAAGTACCTGGAATCATATTTTTCTGGTTTTTGGCTATTGGTACCTTCCCTGTAATTTTCTGCCATACAGGCTGCTCCAAACACTGTTCCAAGGTGCTTTCTCAGTAGTGGGTGCTAACTTGGAAGTGATAGATATCTGAAGAAAAAGGGAGTACTAATTGTAAGTGTGCAATGCAGAACATCAGAGTACATGAGAGTTCCTTGGAGTGTTTGCCTCCTTTATAAAGTCAGAGTAGTACTTCATTGTTATAGAGGGCTCTAACTCCTTGCTCTGGACTCAGTGGAAAAACAGGCTATGTAACAGTAGGAACAGTAAAATTAATAAAGCCAAATATGTATCCTTTCAATTTCAGACAGTCAATACCTTATATTGGATGTCATATCAGTTAATTCTATTACTGGAATAAGTTCTCCTTCGTTTTGTTTAAAGGAGTTGCTTTAGACTGCATATCAGCACGTACAACTATCATTTAAAATACAGCACCAGAATAATCCACTCTCTCTTCTACCAGTATCTATTAAGACATTCACATCAAGCAGTTTGTCTTTTCCCTCAACAGATAACTGATTTTAGTTTAACCCTGCTAATGGGTCTAGTTGAATAGCTTGTATTTCTTATTGTACTTCTCTTACATCTTGTATTTAGAAGATCTTTATTTCTTTATGGAAAAATTCAGAATGGATTATTTTTAGGTTTGGGGTTTTTTTTTTCACACACACAAATGAAGCAGAATTAACTGTCTCAGTTGTTCCTATATCACCATGCATACAAGCTTTGGTTTTTTTCACTTTAGATTTTCAAAACTTCCTCAGTGTTCATAAAGTTTGTGTGAAAAATAATTCTGCCTTTCACTAGCTTCAGATCTTAGGACGTTTCTTTTTCAATGAACATGGAAAGGAAGAGAAACTCTAACATACTATGATTTTTATAAAAATTGCCTGTTGGCATATTGTGTTGAAAATGACAACTCAAACGACTTTTTCTGTGCAAACCTGCTTTTAGACAGAGAAAACTATGCTTGGAACAGCTTTAGCTTTTCACAAGATTTTACATGTCAGTACCTATTCATTGTGTTATGAACTGTATTTCAGGACTGTGCCCTGTTGAAACAGTCATGATAAATACCAGAACAGGGTCACAACCATTTTTGCCTCTCGATATTGTATTTTCATTGATCTAAATACTGACTTCTTTCTGCTCTGCTTTTGACTTCTTACTCAAGAAAGGGTGTGGAAATTCCTGTTTGGAGCCTATCAAAGGTATGTCCTGATTCTGATCCTGGTCATGCTGAAGAAATATGAAGTATCAATGATTAACAGCATTTCTTTAGTACATAGACTTAAACAGAAAGGGTTGCAAAAAGACTATATCAGACTTTTTCAGGAGTTGTTGCAAATCTTGTCTGTATTTTTGTTCAGATACGCCTTTCACAGCCAGCCTGCCACAGCAAAGGAAGGGAGTATGTATGGATAAAACAAAAAGTTCCTGAGCCCCACACGTATTTACATTAAAAGCATCAACAGAAATGAGACAAAATTGAAATGTGACATTTGCTAGGTGTTTTCTAGATATTGTACATCTATTCCTAGCTGTTGCTTTGGGTATTGAATTAAGTTATCATTCTTTCAATGACCCTGAAAAATGTATTGAAAATGCTGATTGCAAGTGCTGCTATGTGGTAGAAAATGAGGATGAAAATCACATCTATGGAAAGAGTCCAGGAACCACTACAGAAGTCCTGCTTACATGTAAGACTTCAAGGTTATGCTTAGGTTTTATCAATGTTACATGTGATGATTGTGAACAGGTTGAATTTGAGATCTCTCTTCAAGAGAAGCTCTAAGATGACTTTGACCCAGGCCTGCTGGTCTGCACTGAGATGAATCTAGCCCTAATAGCATTAAGTTGCCAAGAGTATAGTTGTATACTCCATTTCTGGTATGTTTTACTTGGGTCCTGGTATTTCTCTGGCCAGACAATAGTAAATAATACAAACCGTGCTGTGGAAAAACTAGTGCTGGGATGAGGTTATTGCACAGATTTTCACTTGTACTCTAGGTTAAGCTTCATATGCCTGGTCTCTAGGACTGAAAAAACAATTTGCATTCAATTCTCTTTGCATCACTCATTCCCAGCTGAGGCCCTGGCAGAAATGCTGCTTTAGGCCTGTTTAGCAGATGGACTGACTGAGATTCGGTACAGTTGAATGCTGAAGTTGTCCACTAGCAGCTATGTGACCAAACTGGTCTGTGGAGCTGCTTGAGCTTGGATGTGGAAGGAAAGTGGTAAAAAGAGTGAGAGCTAGACAAGATTTGTGTGGTTTCAAGCACTCTGTTGCTTGTATGGTTTATTTGGTCCTGGGGCTGTCTGCTGCTTAAAACATGGCTATGCAAATCTTGAGTTGACTAAAAGACTCCTTTCTGTGCCAACTGTAATAACTTGTGTGAGGCATTTATAAGCATAGTGTTAAACTGTAGCATACCAAATAAAAATAACTTTTTAATGGGGGATGAGCACAAAGATTGTAAAGACATGAATATGGAGAGATGTTATGTTGCATTTTTTGAACATGGTGTGTTCATGAAGATAATGCCCTCTGCAACTTCAAGTCTTTTCTGCTCTACTTTCACCAGGACAAATGCATCATTAATCAGAATTAACACATGGGCAGGGAGAGGGAAAAGGTCGTTTTCTTCAGAACTATTTGTCTTTTATTCAGTAAGTGATTCTGCAGGTTATTTAACTGACTGGTCATTAGTAACATTAGAGACTTTAAAAAAAAATTCCTTCTTAGATAAAGGAGGAAGCAGCTCATTTGATTGTAACAGGTGATGTTTTGGGACAGCCTACAGAAAATTAGCATTCTCAGAAGTCCTGCATGTGGGTTGGGACAATCCCAAGCACAACTACAGGTTGGACAGAGAATGGATTGAGAGCAGCTCTGAGGAGGACTTGGACGTGTTGGTGGATGAGAAGCTCAACATGAGCCGGCAGTGTGCGCTTGCAGCCCAGAGAGCCAACTCTATCCTGCATCAAAAGAAGTGTGGCCAGGAGGTCGAGGGAGGTGATTCTGTCCCTCTACTCTGCTCTTGTGAGACCCCACCTGGAGTACTGCGTCCAGCTCTGGGGTCCCCAGCACAAGACAGACACAGACCTGTTGGAGCAAGTCCAGAGGAGGGCCATGAAGATGATCAGAGGGCTGGAGCACCTCTCCCATGAAAACACACTGAGAGAGTTGGGGTTGTTCAGCCTGGAGAAGAGAAGGCTCTGGGGAGACCTTAGAGCAGCCTTCCAGTATCTGAAGGGGGCCTACAGGAAAGCTGCAGAGGGACTGTTTACAAGGGCATGGAGTGATAGGACAAAGGGTAATGACCTTAAGCTGAAGGAGGAAAGATTTAGATTAGATGTTAGACAGAAATTCTTCACTGTGAGGGTGGTGAAGCACTGGACCAGGTTGCC